AAACCGCCCGTAAAACCCAGGCGGGGCGAAAGGCGCGCGGGGGAGCGAGAAGTCACCGCTGTCGGGTTTTGTTCTGTCGCGTTCGTCACCATTTTCTCCTCCTGCTCCCAGAAAGGCCCTTTGAAAAGCAGCCCCGGCTGCACCAGCGTTTGATTGACTTTGAAGCGGGTGAAAGGGGCTCTGCAAAGCACTTGGCATCGGCCGCTCCGGCCCTTTTTACGGCACTGAAGGAACAACAAGTCTTCCTGCCAAGGGCTATTACCAGACAAATGGAGAGAGATCAGAGGCACAAAGGAGGTTGCTAAGGAGTCAAGTGTGGGATCCCTGCAGCGAGGAGGAGGCTGCAGCTGGGACGCCAAAGGTCAGAACATTGCAGACATCATTTTCCAAAAATTCCCATGAAGCCCCGGCGCTCGAGCGGGAGCCTGGCCCCGCGCGGCTCTCCCATGAATACGGAGCAAGGCACAAAAGAAAGCGCCCTTTCTTCCCTCCTACCCACGCTAATGCAATAAAACAAATTAGAATAATTATTCTCAATTTCAGAGCCATAATGCCCAGGATCAGGGCATGCTTGTCACCAAAATGACAACTACATCCGTTTGATTCTCCTTCCTCCCCCCCATCTTTTCATATTTACCAAGATTGCCCAAATTCCAACTTTTATTTCATTACATCTAATGCAATTTTACTACAGGCATCCAGATTCTGTTTGCTTCAAAGTCCTCATGGTTTTTGCCAGAAAGTTCATCTCCCTTATTAGCTAATCACATCCCCACCCTTTCCAGTAACCTTTCAAATGCCACCCACGTTATGACACTTAACAGAATCCAAGGAAAAAACAAAATAGAAAAGCAAGGATTTTAGCATAAACCACTAGTTTCTAAAATAATTCACTGCTGTTAGTTAGAAGAAGAATTTTTTTCTGTTTGCAAAATATATATATATATATATATAGTGCTAAGCACATAAATTGGAAAAAAATAATCCTCCTTCTGTGAGAACACATACCATTAAATGAAAGACAGGCAATATCATCTATCAGAAAATAATTATGACAAATTAGTGCAAGAATTTATTGCTAATTATTGTAGAGCTCTTCCCTTTCCTGGAGACGGTTCTCTTAAATGATCTTTCTCTCTCTGTCAAATTCACGGGAGAAAACCTCTCTTTTTTGCGCACTCGGTGCCCCAGCGGCCGCGGAGCGTTTGCAGGCGCTGGGTTTGCAGCTGCAGCACGTCCAGAGAGGGAAATTCAGGGAGGGGAAAAGAAACCGGCGTTTGTTTTACCATGGGGATGGCCCGCTTGGACACAGGGGTCTCTGGGCTGCAACACCTGCGCGCGCGCCGGCGAGATTGGCAGCCCTAAACCCGAATTTCCTTGCTTTGGGCACTTTTAAATTAAAGTGGTAATGTGCTTTAAATCCCGTTTCCCTGCTTTTCCACTACACTCCTCAATCCTCTCCTCCAGAAACTAATCAAGACATCTCGGCCTCGCTCTCGCTCCCCGCTCCAGCCACCTTCCCGTAACCTGTTCCATATGGCCGGGATGCGGCGCGCGCCCCGGGCCCTGCGCAGCCCCCGCGCGGGC